AATAATCTCTAATTTCTCAACAGTTGCAAAAATTAGATGTAGACAGGCACAGTATAAAACAGGCTAATTGGCTAATGGATAGATAATAAACATAATGAGGTGTAAAAGAAAATGTAATGCAGAATTTTTTGTTTTGACTTGCCTGATCAGTCAACAGTTTGAGATTTTACACCTGATTTGCAACTGTAACTCAATTAAACATGAAAGCAAGTTTTCATATTTAGGAAGAATATGACTGGTCAAATTAATACTTTCAACCAAGCTTAAGAAGTATTCCAAATCTCACCTAAAGCTAAATTTATACTGCAGACTCAAGAACTATTCTTACCACAAGCAGGTGACCAAGTAAACTAAATGAGGTCAAGTGACAAAAATGGCCAGTTATTCTAATAAAGATATTTTATCCTATGATTTCTTGCATTTATTTCCATCCAGATAAATTGATAAACTACAATGTGCATAAGAGCTACTATATTTCACTGAACAGCCCTGTAAACAAGACCACACATGGGAATATTTTATTTCTATTTACTCACAGTATATTGAATGATCCACAAAGATTTCACAAAATATGTAGTTAAGCTAGGCAAAACATGAAAATCCTATTTTGTTTGAAAAAACAAAAAAACAATCATTTAAAAAAAATTGAGTTTTGAATAATGGATTTAAAGCTTTTTTTTTTTTAAGAGTGCAGTGGGGACATTTTGTATATTTATTTCCAAAACAATATCACATGGAGTAAGTTCTTGTTACAAATAGCAAGGCTTTGAGTTGAGATCAAGCAGTTAGACACCTTATCTAGCACAAAGAACATACAAGGAAAAGAACATATTAGACCCAATATTATAACACATTCTATTAACCTTCTTCTTAATTTGTATTGTTCATACTGTTACCATTCAGTTGATCTTTGTATCCATTCCATTAAAATACAGTCACAATAGAATTGCATGTGCAGCATGTCAGCATTTTGTATTTACGGGATGGACTGAAATGCAGTCAAAGGTAGGATCTCATTTCTGGCATTTGCTTGGGTGGAAGAAAGTGTAACCGTTTACATTTACAGGGTAGGCAGGACTGAAACAACACATTTCTTTTGGTGACGGTCATTGACTACCACCTAGCCCAAGCCCCCTGCAAAGTCTGTCATTTTAATCTTTCCATCTATAATCATTCACCCAGCATAAGGTTCATAAATCCATTGCAGATTGAAAGATTAGTGATATCACAGAGAAAAATGTTAATTATGTATGTAAAGCAGATTGGATGAATAAACATCTGAATGGAAAAAGACAAACGGGCGTTGAGCATTTAAAGTCACATAGGAATGATACACGTAAAGATCAGCGTAATTGTGCACATAGATGGTTGTTTGAACTGTTTTTAGATTGTGTGCGAAGTAAGAGAGACTTTTTCAGTATAGCCTTAAACATTGTGATGTGAATAAACAACTGCATCATCATCCTTAAATTCCTAATTTAAGTGATGCCATGCTTAGGATGGCTGTACAGGTCGTTCACCACAGTGCACACACCTGAAATTAAATGGAAATTGCTGAGATGGCAGCAACATTTGATTTCAGACACTATAAGCTATAGTTTAATTTCACAATTGCTGAGTTCTTGCAAACTTTTACAAAAGTAAGACTTGAGAAAGAAAAAATAAATTTTATTGCCTACACTATATCTTAGATATTGAATAAAGAAAATAGACTTCTTGCGAAGAGGTAAGGAGGCCAACTCTTTGCATTACTCTGCGAGTGGGACTGACAAGTTTTTTTTAATCAACAAAAGCCTGGCTGACAAGAAGCATTCATTTTTATCCGCAAGCTGCTTCGGTGAATTTTGAGAGTTGACTTTTGCAGGAAAAAAAAATCTTAGTTCCCACATCTCCCTCTTCCTACGCAATGACAGTCCACATGAGAAGGAAAGCAAATGGAAACAAGGAAACCAGCACATTTGGTCTTGTCTGAGCTACCACACAAGATTCGTCCCTGACCTTGACTACCTCATCATATTTAAGAACAAAAATAATTCAGGAGATCAGTCAGATCAGTTTCTTCCACAGGCACATAAGGATTAGCTTATTTAGACCAATTTTCAGGTCGAGAGCCACTGCATCATGTTAACTTTCTATCAACGGTATTTAAACCTTTCATTGTTTTTTTTCTTTTCTGATGAAAATCAGAAAGTTAATTGTGTCACAGGTTTGTGTTGATGTGTTGTTTAAATCAGTGTGAATGTGCTTTGTGTCTGTGTGTAGGTGGATCATTCCAGACTGCATAAATAACTGAAATCAATGAGGACCAAACTGTATGGATATGTTTGACAAGCAGGAATGTTTGTTTTTTTGTTGTTATGTTCATTTCAGACATTTTTTTCCAAAGTTGAAGACTTGTTAATTGTTCGAACAACTTAAGTGTTAAGTTGTTTTGAAAATTCACCAAATTGATCCATTTAAACTGAATATTTACAAAAATGTTCTTCAAAGAATGTATACCTTGGCATATTTCCCTAAACTTTACAATAGAAAACACTTAAACCTCTGATCCTGGAATCACCCTTGCCTTCAGTTCACAATTACCAAGAACACTACAAAAAGTGTATAGTTCCAATATCTTATTTATTGTTTTAGTTTTCCAAATATTTTGGTCTTATTGTTAGGAAATGTATTGCCTGATTGTTAAATCAATAAATAAATCAAAAAGTAGTTACTCAATATTTAAGCAGTTTTTTAGTTAGTACTTTTTTATTATATCCAAGTTAGTTTGTTTTTTTGGTATGGCTACTTTTACCCTAACTTGATTAATATACTCTCAAATGAGTAACCTCAGCCTGTGAAAAAAATGTACAAATTAAACCAATACCAATTCCTAAATATTCAGCTCTGTGACGTTTTTCTATTATTATCATTATCATTATTGTCATTACTATTTTTATTATTATTATGTTTTTCTGTTTAATAGAAATGTTTGAATTCATGAAGCCTGGTAATCAAGTATAGGGTGCAGAGGATTTACTTTGTAGTGTGAGCGACACTGTGGCTGTGAATGGAATATGTAAACTGGAATATGTGGTTTTCTAAATCGTTTGAATAGTAACCAGTCTTGCGAAACTAATGCCTGGATTGGGGTGTAATGAATGAGCCAAGTGCCTCGATGGCAGCCCTGTCAGAGACTTGGCGCTATCAGTCTGTGACAAGCTCCGTATCAAAACACTGTTGTACACAACACCCAACACCCAAGAGCTCTGTTTTACGTCTGACCACGTTACATGGCACACTGGCACTTCCTGGAGAGTAAGAACTCTGCATTTGGGGTGGGGATGGTCCTTCAAAAGCCGAGAGTTACACGGATATTTTCCTCTATTTTTCTGTGACGTAATGTATATATTATTTTCTTGACAAACCATTACCGAAGCTGAACTTGTTTGTTTTTGTGTTTTTGTGACTGTTCTTTGAGTGTATTGAGTAAACATTGCCAAGTAAGGAAAACATTCTCAACAAACGGCAGGTGAACTTTCATGCACCAAAATGACCATTATTGACGACAGTCACCACTGTGCACAAACACATGTCATAAAAGAAAAAAGGGGGTGTGATTCCAATCAGGTAAAATGTTCAAATGTGCCAAAAGGGCAGAGAAGGCTATGGAGAGGATTACGCCAACATCGTCCATCTTAACAAAAGCTAACGACGACGGTCGCTGAAATGTTTCCTGTAGCCTGTCAATCCGGTTGTGCCTCTTGAGGTAGTTTTTGTTTGTTATCCCACAAAAAGTTGTGTTATTCTATTCCAACATTAAGCGAGCTACTGGCAGCGTTTGCCGATTCATGTCTTAAAACATTAACACAATTTTCATGTGTGTTTTTCTTAACTCACGCAGTTGTTTTAAGTGTTCTGATGACACTTAATATAATCTTCAGGATTTATACAATAAAGACATGGGTACTCACACTGTGTCTGTGGTTTCTTCCTCTTGATAAATGTTTCAACTCCAGTTCCCCCGAGAAGAAATATTTCTAGTAGTCTTTCTCAACTTTCAAAACCGTTTTTCGTTAATTCTTTCCGTTGAAACACATACTTATATATATAACGTTAGCCTCGGTAAATGTCTTCGTACACGCTGTTGTTAGATCTGCAATACAGTGTCCATTGCAAAGTCCGCCCAATCTACCTTTCTGCTCACTTATTGGTCAGAATTTAGGCAAGGCGTGCTCAAAAACAGTCATTGAGTAGTATTGGCTGTGTTTATTGTCTGTTATCAGATCATTCTGTTTCTAATTCGTACCGGTCCTAAACTAGAAAACAAGTAATACCTCAAAATAAAAGTTTTACTCTTATTCTCAGTTTTGAGGGTTTTTTTCGTCGTGGTTCACGTGTGGCCATTTTTTATTTTTGTACTGCAGCTAAAAGGTGGTGGGATGTCTCCCCCTACAGCTAAAATCAGGATTAAAAAACAAGTGGTCAACAACAAGAAACGGATTTTTAAACTCGATGTGAATTGATGTTGTGTATTTTTAAAAAATTAATAATGTCTTGAATTTTTTAAAAAGCTGTGTGCCACAGTTTGTTTTTTAGATTAATTTGTAAAATTATGGCGTTGTGATATCAGTGGCACTGGCAGGGAAATGCATTAGGCATAAAAAGTAAAAACTATTTGTGCTTATGAATCTCAAATTAAACTGGCAATCACATGATTTATGCATGAATGGTGTATACATTAGATAAGTGATAGTAAATGGTTTTCTTCCCACTATATATACGCTGAGAGTAATCTCAGCTGAGAGTAATCTTAAGACTCTTACCATTACACTTGCAGAATATAAACATAGATATCCTTCTAAATATATATATATATAGTCTGCTTTTCATCTGCTGTTTTGTCGTCGTTACTTTGCTGTTACTTGGATTAAGGGGGTCCATATTGGTGGATACACACAATCTGGCAACCACACTCATATCACCCTCTACGTTTTTGTCAATGTTTTTTTTACACACAGCGACTCGGTTTATGTGTGAGTGGGACCTTGACTGAGTGGGGGCGCTCTTCAGACCAGTACCGCTAATAGGATTGCTATATTCACAAGCTAGGTTGAAATAACAGGGGATTTTAGGTCGCTCAATCAAAAACAAAATATAGTATCATTATCAATCTTTCGCATCTCACTCTAAAACACTAACACGGCATTGATGGTAATGTATGCAAGGAAACAACCGAGACTCGGCGATGGGTAAACATCTTTATTTACGTTACTTATTCGTTTTTTTTCTTTTTCCTCGTAGCTATGCTTTGACAATCCGCCATTTTTACTTAAACCAAAATAAGTCTGGAAACTTGTACGTTTAGCAGTTAGAAGACTTTCAGCTATTTCTACAGACTGACATCTGAAGCTTTGTATTTACCACTCCTCTTTTGTTTATTTCTAGGTGCGACCGAAGAGATTCTCAGCCCTATCAGGTACTTGGTACAATATCGTAGCCTGCTAGCTTGATAGCAGAAAATAAGATTAAAATGGACACTCTAGTTCAGGCTTCTGTGTATCTCCACAGGCCCCAGTTAGTGCGGAAAATGGCACGGAAAGTAGTTAAAGTTTCGTTTTAGATAACTGCCTTGGCATAGTATTTCAAATGCAACTGACATAAGATAAAAGTTGTATGATATGATTTGGTATATCGAATTAAACGGTTTTGTAGAAGATAGCGGCGAGTCTTATTGCGGCTCCAAGCTAATAGTAGCTAGTTAGTATTAGCTTGCTTGCTAGCCGGTCCGATTCAGGCCTGACCGCAATCTGTCATTTTAAGGATGTAACTGCTCTCTTATAATTACAATTCTCATGACCAAAGTACTAGCAGTTGAAATAAATAATCGAGTTATATGAAAGACTCATTGTGTTTTAAATATTGTTTCTTCTCATTATCAGAATGAGATATTTTAAGTTCAATTTAATGCAATGAAGAACGGTACGACTGCTCTCAATTGGCTGTATAAATAGCGAAAGGCTCAACAAATACATTTTCTGCAACATTAGAAAACGAATTAATCTGCATTATTCAGATATCATTATCTTTTAAGGTAATTATATTCATAACATTGTATTTTAGAGGGTAGGTCTAGATAAAAGTCCAATCTTTGTACATGCCCAATGATTTTTTTGTATCATATTGAATTGACATGGAAAATTAACTCACTCCTCCTAAAGGGAACACTGTGAAATTCATATATTAAGTCAGGCGTCTTGAGAGGCAAGAATGAATTAGCTACATAATCTTGACATCGAAATAAAATTGAACATTTTTGTAGTATTTGTGAATCAAGAGTAAGGTTTTGGACATCCAAAAATTTAGCCGTAATAATCAGTAGGCGAGGTGTTTTTTCCTACAGACTCTCAAATATTCATCCAAGAGCCATCCAGGAGGGGACCGTCGACATGAAAAGACACGAGACTCAACAGATGTCATTCCTCCCTGTAAAATTCTCCGGAGGTCCGACAGTCCTGAAAACAAACACATCGACAGCACAGGGAACAGCAGAGCAAAAACTGTGCACACACAACGGCCCAGAGAGAGGGATGGAGGTAAGATGATGTTGAAAAGTATTGGTTCATTTAGAAATAACAACATGAAGAAATACTTTCACAGAAGCCAGGGACTAAGATGTTCTTTTTCTGGTCAATGCACTGTCAAACATTAGATGTGTTTTCTTTGCACACCATTAGACATGGCACATCCTGACTTATGCCTGTGAATGTCACCATGAAGGAAATGTCACTTTTGGAGTTTGGATGAAGAAGTGCAGATTATATGTAGCTCAGCTTTCGAGCAAAGTAACAACAACAAAAATCACTAAAATGTTATTAATGCTGACCTACGGTGCCATTTTACTGTTAGAAATGTAGTGTTAACAGTTTTTTTTTTTTTTTATAGTTTCAAAGAGAATTAGTTTATGACTGAGTTCAGAAGATAAAGCATTCAGAAGCTGAACAACAAATTTTAGGAGTAATGGTTATCCTTTCCTTCAGGAACTGATTTTTATCAGCTGATATTCATCCCAAGGAATGTGAAGGTGGGCTAAGAAGGGACAGTTGTATTTTATGTATTTTTTAAGGCACAGTTTTATTATACCAAGTAGAGCCAGTAAAACCGTAGTGCAAGTGCTCAGGGCTTGAGTTGAGAAGAAGCCATTTATCGTTTTTGGAACTATTGAAGTTTCTTCTCCCAATGTGATCATGCATGCAAGCAGATTTCGACAGTAAATTTACTTTGTGCGTTAAAAGGGTTAAGAGAGTTAACTTTTGTTACTTTTCGAGGATTCCGGAGTTGGAGAGGTTAAATAGTGTTTCACAGATGCATTACGTCATTAAAACTGGTATTGTTGGTTCTTATTTATCAACCACTAACACTTAAGTTTGCAATTTTATAAAAGGTAAGATTCCTGGTGGTAGAACTTTTTGTTGCTCAGATAAGCTGTCTAGAGGATGGGATCAAAACGTTCACTTTTCATGTGTGGCTTGATTCTGGCGATGTTTCGAGTTTTTGTGTTATAACAATAACATGGGTATGGTGTATACAGTACAATGTTAGAAGATGACTGAATGTTCCTTGATCACCAACAGTAATGTTTTGAAGCCGAGATACCATTACCTTGAGTTGGAAACACAGATTTGTGGTGCTTGTGTTCAACTGCATTTTTGTGCTACACTGTAATAAAGGGTTTAGATTAGTCATTGCAAACTTTAAGATGATATTTCAACCTTTCAAATAACATATGGCATGTTTTAATTGACTTACTTTGAAGCCTTGTATACCTGTGCCTAACCATGCTGCAAAACATTCTTGCCTTTGCACACGTAGAGTGTACAGGAATTTGCAGAGAAATTGTTTACATCCAACTTACTTTTCACAGTAAAAAATCAAACCTAAAAGTAAGTCTCAAAACCTATTTTGGTATCCAGGAGGCACAGGAATATTTTTCAGTGAACAGGATGAAGTGGACCTTTTACTGGGAAAAAACTACTGTAAAATAGTCATACTTTCTGCTGTCTTCTGCAAATTTGAAATAGTGGTTCACTGATAGCTTATAACACCATGTAATTTATCCCCTCAGATAAAGGCGAAGAGTAATTTGTCCTAAAATATTGTATTTTAGGTAGACCAAATCTTGGATTTTTTAAAACTGACTTCAGAGTTCCATTACTCTCTCTATCACCTAGAGTTTGTGAGGCTGTCACGAGAAACTTCATAGAGTTCTCCTTATGGAAAGATCTCATGCAATCTGTGTAGTCAAAGCAGTTCGGAAGTTACCGTAATTTTAATTTGGGTATGTCAGTTTAGACATTGTCACTACAAAAGTTTTGACGTCATGCATGCAAGGACTTAAATAAACCAAACCTTTCCAAAATAACAAAACTCCACAATAATAACAGTAGTGTGTCTTGCAGTCACATAATAAAAAGGATGAGGCTTGTAAACAAGTAGAAACAGGGAGCATTACCACAATTATTTTTGAGCCTCTCTAGCTTACATTTATGTTAATAGTAATTGGGGTAATGGGGGTTTTCCACTTCGATTAAGTTATTTCAAATGAATGGACAAACGGGTAAGGGTTAGGGTAACAATAAAAACAAAATAATATTTTAATTTAAGAGCATAGCAGGGGCCTCCATTATTAAAGTATTTTCAGATTTCAGTCATAAAATCTGAGTACTTGTTTTTATCAAATTATTCATCTGTATAAATATGTTAATCAATGATTGATTCATACAGATACATATGGTACTCGTATCAACACAATATTGCCTCCTATCATTTTTAGAACTCAGCCTTCTTATTTCAGTCCTAGAGAGTGCATTACTGGCATGCATCCTCAGGCTGTTTATGTGCACAGGATATATGGAAAAGTCTGAACTGAATTGCCTTCACTTTCTGTTGAAAATCTCAGGCATTCACTTGTGAAAATCACTAAGGGACTAATCTAGTGGCAAGATATTTAGAAGGCAGATAGACTGTAAGATATTTTGAATTTAAAGGAATTTGATATCGTAAAGCTGAAGTGACAACTTGTCCTAGAGTTCTTTAACACACATGACAATGGTTGCTTTCAAAGTGCATCTGCTGTTTCTTTTGCAGGACCCAGTTATTCCCCACAAGAAAACTCTCACAACCATAGTTCCATTCATAGTTCCAACTCCCATTTTAACCCCAGCAGGACGCCAGACACAGTAAGTACCACCTCTGCCTAAGCATGAAATCGATGATGGACTAACTTTTGAGATTTTTGCATGCACAGATTTGATAGTTTTGCTTTATTGTTTAATGCATTTAAAATAAGTTATTTTAAATTCCTTGTCATAATTTTAAATAAGATTGGGTCTATTTCTTATGTCATCAGTTTTTTTTATTATAATTTTTTTAAGTTGAAGGCCAGTTTTTACCCTTTTTTGGGGGTTGTTAAACATAGGGGTGGGCGATATTATATATGGGTTATATTCCAAATCTCATTGTACTGTGTACAATGACAATAAAGGCTTTCAATATTTACAAAATAAATATTATTTTACAACGATAATCTGACAATATTCCCTTTTCTTTCTTTCTTATTTTAAAACAAAAAATGCTGTCAAACCCTACTTGCTCACCATGACATCTGTGAATAAACACAGTATTTCAGAACAATAGCGCTTGTTTTTTTCAAAATCCATTGCAAAACATGCATATTAAATCCTTCTGCATAACATAGCCCAATGATATTCTATGGCAATATCTGACATTGACCAACTTCAAGTTATGTCCAGGGTTTATAGAAATTACAGGGGAATATACCAACTAACGTTTGCTTAATAGTATCTTGAGCTTTTGAACACAAATAAATATAAATTGTAATCAAATATCATTAAATTAAGATGACTTTAAAATGTAAACCGAATAAATATTTAAAATCGAATGGACAAACACTTGCAAGTATTGTCACTGGCACACGTGTTTAAAATGTTAGTCAAAAACCCTTTCCATACTATGTGGAGCCACATGTCACCATTAAATCATCAGATGAGACAGAATAGTCCAACATATTTTCTCAATTTGAGAAGATCAAAGCCGGGCATACACTGTGCGATATTTTCCATCGTTGCACATAGCTCCAGCTGAAACTGTACAACCAAATTGTAGGGGTTAAAAGTTTGAACCTCACGCTTTATGTTCTCGCACTATACGACTCGATACTGTTATGCGATCTGACCGCTCACATTGTGCCTCCAAAAACGCACGTCGTACTTGAAATAGAAGACTAAGAAGACAAAGTCGAGCAACACTGAAGGAGATTGACCAAAGCTAAAAGCGCTGCCTTGACAATTTGCGTGATTGTGTGTAATTGGTAACTTTGTGCAGCAATCTTACCCCAACTTTTGTCTCTTATATTTCGGTCATGATAATGTTGGGAGGCCACGTCGAACAGGAACGGGTGAGCCTGCCAGAGTTCCACAAGTTGTGCTTCCATTGTTTGATTCCAAGACACATGGACAGTTGCCCCGATACTCAGTGTCACTTCCACTTTGTTTGCACATGCGCAGTGTCAGAGATAGTGGGTAATCGGGTTGTAGACGCTCGTAACATTGGTTCAATAACACCATTTCCTCAAGAGGGCCGACCAGAAATTCAAACCAGTTTGATTTTCATCCGACCATACGATTGTCGATCTGGAGTGAGACGCACGAGCGAGCTGAAACTCGGCCCAATCCAAGAAATTTTCGCACAAATGAAAAATCGTGTCAAAAAGGGGCAGAAACCGCACAGTGTATGCCCAGCTTAATGTGTTTTGGTTGCTGATTTGCTTAGTTGTCGCCAGCTCGAGTCATGAGAATTAATCTCGTCCACTGATTGGCTTCTGAGGCACACATTCCATGGATAAAAACTTTCATTAATGTTTGTTGTCTTTTCAAGACGGTATGAATGCTCAATAATGTATAATAAATAGCACATTGTCAAAGCAACTTTTACAATATTATCATTGGTCTTATATCGCCCACCTCTGATTTAGACTCCCTATTAAAAATTCTGAATGGTGCTTTTTCCTACACTGAGACAATCTGATGCTGGTTTTGAACCAAGTTTTCCCTCAAAGGCAAACTGTAACCTTCAGCTTTCATTATCTTCATTGCATTCAAGCTCACACAAACAATATGGTGGTTTTTTACCACTTGTTTTTAAATGTGTTTACCTTTTTTCTCAGCCTTATGAGCCTAGTGACGACTGGTCAGAGCACATTAGTTCCTCTGGAAAGAAATACTATTACAACTGCAGGACAGAGGTGTCACAGTGGGAGAAGCCCAAAGAATGGCTGGAAAGGTAGCTATGATTTCTGGAACTAAAAGCAATTGGTTTTACATGCTCACATCTTAACGAACAAGTGTTTTCTTGGTATATAACCAACATGATGCCTATTACCACTGTTGCATCTCTGTTACCTAGAGAGCAGAGGCAGAAAGAGGCAACAAAGACCGCTGTTGTCAATAGCTTTCCGAAGGACAGGGACTACAGAAGGGAGACTTTACAGGCAACGGCGACCCCTGGCTTTTCTGGTCCTAGTAAGTTTCATTTTTACGTTTCACGACTTGTGGCTATGGTGTGATACATCTTCCTTGCACAGGCATTGTTTGTATGTATTTTATTCTTTTTACATTATTATGCTGTCAATCTTGATCAGATCAAAAATTTTAAAGTTCTGAGCTGCAGTTCTGCTCAGCAGAGAGCTATATGAAGTGTTGCAGTTCTCACCAGAAAATCACTGTCCCTCTTTAGTCTTGGTTTTCCTGCACATAAGCCTTTCGTTGTTATGAGACTGTTTTGCCAAACCTGCACAAAATGCACATATGCGTGCAAACTCAGAAGCTTATCACTCTGTTTGTTAATGAGAGACGGGTGCTGCATCACACAGGCTACATCTTGTACTCTCCATACAGTCTATTTAGGCTATCAACAGTGGTTACGTTTTTTAATTATCAATTAACCCTATAACACTAATGTTCAAATTAGTAACACCATTACTAACATCGGTATATTTTACCTGATATAATATCCCAGATAAAATACAGTTTGCCTCTTGAAAAAAACATAGATGGGAGGAGGCAAACAAGTATACCATTAATGGCATCAGCAAACAGCCTGAAGCTACCCAAGACCCATGTAACTCAGACAGCAGTTACACAATGAAAATAGAATGACAGTAACTGTATGGATGAAAATGACCCTACTTTAGTGTTCCACGGTTTTACTAAAATGTTTTGAATATTAATCATGTGCTCATATTGTAACTATGTAACTATGTGACACTGCGAAAAAACGCAGAGGCTGATCTCTACAACAAATATATTTATTAAAGACTTTTCTAAGGATGCATTTCATCCCTGTCATTTGCTAAACACTAAGCTTGGAACTGGAACTGATAATTGGTTTGGAATCAGAACTTCTCTCAACTTCAACTTATGCCCAAACCAGAATCAAAAGGAGTATAGGTGTACACATTATTTTTTTAAGCACTTTTAATGAGAACTCCTGACTGTACAGTTAGGATTTGTGTGTGGCTGCTGAGCTATGAAAAGTATGAAAGTATTCAGGTGTTTAACTAGGCAATGATTAGCTAAACACTTTAGATTATTGGATGTTAATTTGAAGCTGTGGTGTCTGCAGTTTGGATTTTCTCCTAGGTTGATGTAGCCACTGTCTGCGGATGTGATTCTGTGATTTTCTGTTGTGCATAAAATGGAAAGATTAGTTGGCTCATACAAAAGGTAGTGCTAGGTGTTTTTTTATGTTTAAGTATTGTGGGACTATATGGGAACGGCATACTCCAGCTCCCAGTATTTAGTGTAGTAGAAGAGTTAAGTGTTCAAAGGTTAGGTCAGAACTCCCGTTAGCTGGGAGTAAATATGTGGTTGTTAGTAAGGTGTTCCAAACGCAACCAAGGGCAAGAAATGTATTCCAGAAATGGCAGCTCAGGTGGCAGAAGTAAGTCATACAGAGATTGTGGATAATGTTTAAACTGGTCGGAAAGGTCTGAAGCTTGACACAGGCAAACCGTTGTCGAGTAGAGCAGGTCCTAAGGAGAAAAGAAGACTAGTTTTGGAGCAGGTTAGTAGACATAAGGAAATGTTGAAGATTAAAAAGGCAGTGGCTCAGGCTAAGAAGGGACGGTGGTTAAATTAGGATGGTGTAGAAAATAAAACTCTTAGCTGGAAAGTGCTGCAGAGTAGTATTACATTTTTTTTAATCTAAGGCCTGATATAGTTGTGGTCTTTGAGCAGAAAGATAGTCTGTTTTATAAAGCTGACTGTTCCTTGGGAAGACTTAATAGAAGAATATGTAAGGGAGAAGTTTACGTAAATTCAAGCAGAGCCGCGAGAATGGAAAGTTAGGATTTGTCCAGTGGAAGTAGGATGCAAGGGCTGTTGTCAGAGGAGGGACTTGTCTGTAAGTGGATGAGGGTATGGAGTATGAGGAGAATAGTGAAGGATATGTGAGTTGAGGCAGTGAAGTCCATTCAGTGGAATTGGATTAGAAGATAAAGTATACCAACGGTAGGTGGGTTTGGCTGAGTTTATTTGCTGAATTTGCTAGTATGTCTTGTCCTACCTACATTTCCAGCACCCTCTATACTTTCATTACCCCCTGCCTGAACCAGGGTTTCTTTTAATGGTGTGCAGTTGGTGATAGTTGGTGTAGCCGATAGTTATTCTGCTTTTGGAAGATTTCATGATCACTGTGTAGTCTCCTGGAGGTGTCGGATGGGTGTGGACCCAACTAAATGAAACACTGATGAAAGGTCCTACCTGATTCCCCATGACATCTTGGTCAGCATTGCTCACTGGTCTATATAGGGATTACAGTATTAAAAGCTTGATTGTTGAATTTAGGGGATTAAGGATGATCAGGATTAATGTTTTTTTTTATTTAATACATTTCAAACAAGTTTTTAAAAACATGTATAACAAAACCAGTCAACTAAGACAGAATGATCAATTCCAAGTGTTACTGCAAATAAATAAATAAATGTTTTCAAGCAGTCTAGATGGTTTAAATTACGATATGGTTTGGCATAAAAAGAGTTTATATTTAGGACAGATTCCAAAGGATTTTACAACTACTTATACTTTCTTTCTTACATTCCCTTACCTAGTGCATTTTTTTAGAAGCACTAAATGCAGGCTGCTTAAATCAGGGATTTAATAAAAGAGCAGATGCATTTGTGAAACTGTTGCTCTGAAATTTCCTCCTTTCTTCTTCTTTCTATTACCATAGAGTCGGCTCAGATTGAGAAACCCTCAGTGGCCCTTGTCACCCAGTCATCATCTTCTTGCTTAGGTAGCTTAAACCCATTATCAGGACCACCTGGATCATCAGTTTCCACTGTACCTGTATCCCCAATACTTCAGTCCCCTGCTCCTACGCTACTACAAGACCCCACCCTACTTCGCCAGCTTCTCCCAGCACTTCAGACTGCCCTGCAGCTCAATAATGCCAGTGTGGACATGGCCAAAATAAATGAAGGTAAGAGAAAATGTAGATGCACTGAATACATTATACTTGCAGTCTCTTTCTCCTGTCTGTGGAGACAGGGAAAAAATAATATTCCTACTGCAACGATCAGGTTGATAGTCTGTATTCGTCAGATTGCAGCATTGAAAGAGTTAAGTGTTTTTTTTTTGTAAAAATTAGATGCTCATCAAAGTACATTCTCAAATTAATATTAACTTTCATTAATACTTTAAAAAGCAGTAAGATATAGTACTGATACTAGCTATGTGCCATGTCTTCACAAACTTTGACGTCTAGCATTTTTTTTTAAAGTTCTATATACACTTATGCCAAAGGCATTTTTTCAGTTGCAATGTTTACATGTGCAAAATTTCCATAATGATGTTGCACTTCTGACCAGAAGTGTACTGTTTACATGGAACATGAAAAGGTTATTCTTATTATGATGTGCATTTACCTAGCTCACGTTAAAACATCTTTTTTTTTTTACATTTTTTACTTTTGTTCTTGAACAACTTAATATTTCTGTTGTTTCAAACATGTTGTTTAATTATTTTAATTTCATTAAAGATTTTTATGCAATATGTTGATATCACAAACGGACCAGTTTTTATTTTTATCCTGCAATGTCTTCCATCAACTGTAATGTAAAGGGCCTGATTTCAGGCATGATATATGCTTTACATCACAGGCATGTGCAATAAGGATTATTTCGGAATGCACAATACTTGAAACGAAAGTCAGCATAACCTTTCTTGATTAAATTGAAATTTTCATTTGATTGACTGATTTCATGAGAATATTCCTATTAGTATTCCTAAAATCAGATTCACTGTGGAGAAGCAATCACATCCAACAGTGTGTTATTTGCTGTTTTTTTGTTTTGTTTTGTTTTTTGTAGTTCTCACAGCTGCTGTCACACAAGCTTCATTACAGTCTATGCTCCACAAGATCCTCACTGCTGGACCATCAGCCTTCAACATCACCACTATTCTTTCTCAGGCTGCTCAACTGTCTAGTCAAGGTAATGAATCAGTGTAGACATTTTTCAATTGCACCACTGTGTGTTTTGGTGGCACTATGTTTTTTTTAGTCTGTTGAATGGTGCTGTGCACAACTAAGATTTTTCTTTGTTTTTTTTTTTAGCAGTTCAACAATCAAATCAGTCACCAATGTCTTTAACATCAGACGCCTCTTCGCCAAGATCTTACGTCTCCCCAAGGATCAGCACACCACAGGCTAATGCTGGTTCTTTAAAGCCCCTACTCAACACACAGCCCATCATCTCACAGCCAAAAGTAAGCCATAACATGCGCATCATACATACTCTGTTTCACAACAATTGAAACAGTGGAACCTTTTTTTGTGTTGCTGTTGCCAGAACGCATTTTACTTTGACCACAAAAGATTGAGATGAAATATCAACACTTTAGCTTTAAACTTAGCTTGTACAGCAGGATCTGAAAAATAACATGTATTGCATTTTAGCAATGAAACATCAGATTTTTAGGTGAGGAAAGTATATGCGCAAATAGACTTAATTGAGATATGAGAAAAAGATGTAGTATTTGATTAAAAATTAGCATTAACTGCAGAAAGCTTGTGACTCATTCACCACATTTCTGAGATATGGATTTATTTCAGCAATTTTCAGTTTTTGTTTGTTTTGATGGGTTGCTACCTTCAGTCTCTACTTTGGCAGGTAAAATGCTTCTTCCATAGGGTGTAAATCTGTAGATTGACCTGGCCACGTCTAGCTTTTGTTTTTGCCCATTATCTCTTTTCCGTTGTCCTGTCAAGCATCATGGCAAGTAGAATGGTTCTCTGACTGCCATAGTTATGCCAAACACATTCTCTTTTTCAAGGGAGATTTTATATTAAAAATGGCTCTCGATGCGCAAAGCTTGTTGACTGATTTATTACTGTTAACGTGTTATATGCAATCTGATGCCAAACATGATTGGGGGGAGAAAGGGGTGGGATAGTTTGGACAGAAAATGCAAAAACAGAGAAATATATAGAACAAAGTATCAAACCCCAACAACCTGCTGATACCAAAATCCTCCTTAGGCCTCGACGGGGGGAAACTGGAAAGAAATAATCATGAACACCTGCAGAGACAAGAGACAAACCTAACAGAGAAATTACAGCAATAACACCAGCAGCAAGAACATGTAACAAACTTGTTGATACTAATACACATAACTTTCAGCTAAGCTAATATATATCATGAGCACTAAATTGTGCGTTTGCAAGTGAACATGCACAAAATGTGGTATAGGTCTTACATGCATTGTGCTCACCGATGGGTGCAAAGGGACACTTCCGACCCCCTCCAGGGTCTCAGAGCGGGCAGAGATGTCCATATGACACAGGACACCAGGAGCCCCACAAAGCATAGAAGTCAGCAAGCCCACCACAAGGTTCCTTCCACCCAGACTGTAGCAGAGTAGGGCTGGGACAGAGCCCCCAGGAACCAGGAGTGAAAACTTACCAGCCTCGCTTGGCCTGAGTGCCTCAGGGCCCCAATTGCCCCAGCGCCCCCAACAAAGGGTCTGCCTGATATCCAAGAGGATGGCAACCCCAGGCAACCAGCCAGAGTGGGCTAACACACACCCCAGGGTCCCTAGTAAAGGGCCCCAGAGTCCAATCTGGCTACAGGCGAGCACAGTAGCAAGCAGTGAGGAGGCAAGGAGGGGTTGAGCCCCATTCTCCGCCAACCCGGAACAGCTCAAGGAGCCCAGAGGACATCAAGCCTAGCCTCATCCACAGTCATCCGTGCATGCACATTTGCTCACACACTTGCATTCACACAGACAAGTGGGGAGAAACGATACTCAAATAAAATTTTATATATATATATATATATATATATATATATATATATATATAATAATGAAGTATTTTTCAATCTATTAGATTGTATTCCTCTTTAAATTGCCAGACCAAACGTTTCTGTTGAATTGTGAGTTAATTTTGCTGCTAATATGTGTTACATCATTGATGAATAAAGGCTAATGATCTCATCCCAAAAAGTAGCCATGCAAATTAATGAAATGATACCATCTCTACTGGGTTTTACAGATGAGCTTGTATATTTGGTGTTATGAGTGGATTTGTTTTTTCTCCAAACTTCCCATCATTTTGTTAAAGGCTAACCTTTGTCTATGTTAGTTCTAGAAATTTAGTGGCACCTTTTAGCCAATTCCAGCCTGGCTTGATATTCTTTTTGTTAATGCGTCTCCCCTATTAAATTGAATTGGATAAGCTCTGGTCCGGGCGGCACGGTGGTGTGGTGGTTAGCACCATCGTCTCGCAACAATAAGGTTCTGGGTTCAAGTCCTGGGGGACCCAGGACTTTTCTGTGTGGAGTTTGCATGTTCTCGCTGTGTCTGTGTGGGTTCTCTCCGGGTTCTCTGACTTCCACAGTCCAAAAGCCTGCATGTTAGGTTGATTGGACATTTCAAATTGATCTTAGGAGTGTGTGTGGTTGTTTGTCCTTGTGTGGACTGGCGGGCTGTCCGGGGTGTGCTCTCGCCCATTGGCCACTGGGATAAGCCCCAGTTCTCCCTGCGACCCCATTATGGAATAAGCGGTTCAAAAAATGTAATAATCTTTTTTCTCATTCACTTTTGCCGTAAAATATCTGCTTGGCTGAATTCTCTAATTTACAACTTTGACTATGCTAAGTTTAAAAAAAAAAAAGAAGGAAAAACAACTGATTTCGATGTTGTAATGTAATTTTTTTATGGATAATTTCAACCAAACACTTGAAATTGGTTAGTTACATGCAGATAAGTGGTCATGATCATACTGACTTGAAAAATGACCACTAATTGTTAATGAGTTGGACAAAAACTGCAATTATTTTTTTTTATTGATGTTGCATTGCTCATTTGTGTTACAGGTGAATACACCATCAGTGAAACAGTTGTCTCATTCCCAGCCCCCATCCCAGCAACCCATCTCAAGTGATAAGCTGCACAGTCATGATGTCAACACAGCCTCTCCACGTACCCTCCAACGCCAAGGGTCAGTATATGTTCAGAATGAATATTTCAGTACAACTTCAATATAACCATAGTGCAATAATGGACAAATTTAAATTAAGATCGCAACACAGCTATTTCTGATAAAAGAAAATGTATCAATTAGTTTCTAAAGTGCAGTTTTTTTCTGAAATATCTGGCCATTCCCATTACTTCCTGAATTGAGTTTTTAAACTGTGCTTTATGCTTTTTAGTGTGTAGTGTTCGATCAATTGCTTGTAAATGGTTGATATTGGAAGTTACTCATTTTGTGGCATTAATTATTCTCTAATCTTTAGATTTTAGTGTCTGTCACAAAAATTTTGATAATTTTTTAGTCGGATCCCACACGAGCATTAGCATCTCTTAACCCACAGGTCTGCGTCATAACCATTAAGTTGTTATAAGAGTAAATCCCTTTTCAACATGAGTCCGACAACTGAGTAAGTATGCTAAATAACTTTAAACTTTAATACATGCTCTGATAGGCCGGTATCAGATCGGAAGTGCAAATACAATATCGGTATCGGATCGGAAGTGCAAAAAATTTGAAAGAACTCAAATTCAACTAAATTAAAACCAAAGACAGCCAGTTCAACTTGTAATCTCGTTAAAAATATAATTTTCATCCAAAAAATCGTGTCTTGCACAGCAACGACAGAGAGTATGGATAGGAAAAACAAGAAACAGACTTGCATTGATTTAGGCCACTACTTGGCTCATCCCAATGAGGGATGTGGCCCTCATTCTTGTTCAATTCCTACACTGTTCCAATATGCAGCATGCAGCTCGACCTCTTTACCATCACTGGATCTCCCCAGAATAATCAACTATCTGTGTACTTCTTTAGATGACAGGACTTAACTTGCAGTTGTACAGGATGTCACACACATACTGAAGATGAGACACTGGAACCAAAGTTTCATGTGGTGCTCCTGTGCTAATGACTCTGTTGTCATACATACCATTCCCTCTCAGTCTCCATATGCATTTGGAACTTCACGCAGCAGTGTGGGCTGAATTGTTTAAAATAATTTACACTCACCCTGTAAGTAGTTAGCAGTGTTTGAATCCTGACTTCATTTGTAAAAATCTGCCTTTGTTGAGCAAAGTGGGAGGAAATGAGTGACAGTAGGCTGCTTTTTATAGGTGCAGGTTACTAACCATCCTTCTCAGTATACATTTTACATAGCTGGCACATGGACTGTTCTGTCTGTATGTCACAGAGACTTACAAATTATCCCTCCTAAAAATAAATTAAATGTTATTGGTATAACTAGTGATGATTGTCTGATTGTATACCAGTATTTGATATCAGGTGGTATCTGAGTGTTGTTGGGGTTTTTTATTAGCTCTAATGCTCTCAATATGTCTGGTTCAGTGTTTAGGAATTACTTAATTTATACAAATTCAAATGTATCTGAACATGTTTAGTTTAAAGGTAGCTTTTTAGCGTGAACCATTCCACTGATAAAGTATTTCCTCTTTTTATGTATCAATAGTTTATAGATGCTAGAATGATTTTATGTATCACTTACATTTTTCTTTATTAACCACATTAGACTTGAGGCATAAGAATTAAGCATGTTTTAACATTACCGCCAATGAAGCTTCCCTTACCTTTTGAAATTTAGCAGTCAGCGCAGTCCTTCCCCTGGACCCAACCATGTCGCCTCCAGCAGCAGCAACATCACCTGCTCGGCCTCAGCTCCCCCAACAGCCTCAGTAGCCCGACCCTCTTGCTCTTTTACCCCCACACTTGCTGCACACTTCAATGAAAACCTTATCAAACATGTGCAGGGATGGCCAGCTGAACACGTAGAGAAGCAGGTCAGTGGCGAAGTGCCCTCAAATATTTTTCTTTGATACAGTTGTTATTAATTGCAACTTGGCATAAAAAGACATTTGTTTCAAACATCTGAAAGGCATCAAGATTGCGTGAAGAGGCTCACACCATGGGCAGTATCTGCATGTCCGAGAACTGCACTGAGTTAAAAAATCTGCGGTCTTTGGTCAGAGTCTGTGAAATACAAGCAACACTGCGTGAGCAGAGGTAAGGATACCTATATATCTAGTAGATTGCCTTTTAATGTATTATAGACCTTTTGCCAGTAATTCTTATTTTGTTTCTTTCAGGATATTGTTTTTGAGACAGCAAATCAAAGAACTTGAAAAGTTGAAGAATCAGAATTCCTTTATGGTTTGAGAACTTATGGTTTTGAGTTGGAGTGGGCAGGACAGACGTAGTAGCGGGACCCATTGCACATAGTTGGAGTCTGGAATGAGAGCCGTTCAGTTACCCTTGAACCCAGTCTAAACACACGCATACACAAGATCGGGTTGGCTTTGGCCCATTGGACTGGGACACAAGAGGGAAAATTGAGGATCTGTTGGTGGAGGAGGGGTAGGGGTGGATTGACAGGAATTGGTTTTGTAAAAACTCTGGATGGGGAAGAAAATGTAGATTTCTTGTAGATGTTATCTATGTTGTAAATATGTTTTGTAGATTGAAGCCATGGAAAGCCATGCCTATCAAAGCTTTCGAAATCCAGATTAATCAATGCCTACAGTCATAAGATAGCCTGTCATTCATGTTAAATCATCTCCGGATTTAAAGCTTAATTTCTCAATTCTTAGATCATTGAACCATTGCATATGTGTTTATGTGACCAGCATGTAAACAGAGGAGGATGTGTGAAGCTATTTTCTTTACACAGAACCCCAGCATAAATACAAATGCACTGATGTCAGTGTAGTTTATGTTTATCCTCAAATCTTAATAAACTCTTGTTGTCTAGATTCTCTTCCCTCCACTCTCTCAAGGTGATCTGTAATGTGCACAAGCTTTGCAAACATCCTCTCTCAACAGGTCTGTGGTAACTGCTCTCAATGGTTCAGTGATCTGTTTGCTAGGGCCTATGCATTACCCACTCAGGATGGGATCATACAGTGCCTGTTGGATTGTGGGATGAGTGTTATGAAGAACATGGAGTGTAATGGCATGCTGCTCTGGACCATTCCTGCTTCCCTCCCTTGGCCTGATCCTGGCCCAACCTAGCCCTGTCCTCATTTTAGTGCTGCCAACCTCTGTGGATTTTTTATGTTTGTTTGTTTTGTCCTCACTTCTGTGTTTCTGCTTTTTTTCCCCTCATTTTCCCTCCTTATGTTTTCAAATTGAGGTGGTGCCTCTGTTTCATTCCTTTGTACAAACACTAAGAAAAACTGGAGTGTTAAGAGGAAAATGACTCAAAAGGTTTTATTTATGAGATAAGCTGTAATATTCACTGCTGATCCACACATTTTCATCAGTGCCCAGATGTAGTAGTAAAGCTACAGCAGGTCAGAGGGTGTATGTGGAACATTTCCTTAGCACAGGGCAAGAAGGGGTCAAAGCTCAAATGTGAAATGTAATATTGTAATAAACATGTTAAACTAAAGCGAGCACTGGTTATTTTATCTTTCAATGTTAGACCTTTTTTTTTTGTTTTATGCTAGTGCCTTGTTGAAAGTCTTAAGCCTCATTTACCTCCAGACCCCATGCTTTTTTTTTGTTTTTCATTCCATCTTAATTTCAACAAGCATGTCCCTCACAAGGTCGTTGGCAAATATTCCATCCGCCCCTCAGTTTTTGTGCCCTGCTGTAAAGGGTCATCAGTCTCGAAAACCTATGTATTCCCTACCCAATCATTCAGTCTCTTGAACTGAACTTCACCACACATTTAGCAGTGTCCACATCATTGCTTTGTATATTGGTTCCTGAAGTATATTGACAAATGAAATAAAATGTTCCTCTCCAGGATAAATTGCTTGCGTGTTTGATCATCCCTTAAAACCTTGAATGGCATGTTTGGAAATGTAGGATAAGCATAAATTATTGGCAAACTATGAAATTGGTAATTGTCCCTGTAATTTTGTAATTTATTAATTTACTGATGTGTATACATCTAAGTCGTGCTAAAAAAAAAAAATTTTTTAATTTTCATGTTCAATATTCAAATACTCTTCCCCTCTTAGTGCAGGCACATTTATTTCAAAGTAATCTGGTGGTTGATGTCTGAGAAAATTGATGTTTTTTAAGATTTTCTTACTGTTATTTGACTTATTTTTAACGGGGGTTTTTTTTCTTAAATTGAATTGTGTTTTCGCAGTGGGTAGACTGAATGATTTTATATTTCATGATTATAAAATGTAAAAAAAAAAACTTCTGTTCAGAAAACATACTTTGTCTTATATTTGGTTAACATTTTCCACACTTTTGGTTGCCCCTTTGCACTAAAAGACCAACTTTTTTATGAAGGGTTAGTTAAAAAAGGTTAGTAGAGTCACTGATCATGACAGTGTTTACAAAAAAAATACATTAAATGAAAGTTTAGCTGGCAAAATTTTAAATACTCATTAGAAACCCATCCAAATATAAACAAAAACTAAAACTACAATTAAAGAATTAACAAAAAAAAACTAAGAAATAGCTCCCACACTCCAGCCCCTAATTGTGTATTTTATCATTATTAAATAAAAAATAAGGGGAGCTATTCTTACAACAACCTCAATTATATGCTATCTAGAAGATAGTTAAGTCAATTGATTTCTTTTTGCGATGAACCTGGAAAAATATCAAAGACAAAAGAATTGAAGAAATGTCTCTAGTTTGTAGATGCCTCCAGAAGCAGACAGAGCTTTGTCATTGGCCTCTCCAACATACTGGTTTTGGTTTGAAGTTGCACTGAACGAACCAGGCCTCATGCATCAGCTTTGACTGCCAGGACTCCCCATCTGCCAACTTCCTCTAGGTGCAGTGGCATCTGCAATCAGGGCAATGCCTCCAGGAGACGGGTTTCTTCTTGCTCTCATCCACTTTTTTCTTTCTTGCATCAAGGGCAAATGACTCAGAGGTTGAAAATAATTCAGCCTTACACTGTACTTGTTTCCATCTTTGTCTAAGATAAAGGTCTTGTTTTTTTAAACAATCCAGGCGGTATACGTAACAGGTTTGCTCTTTAGCATGAGGATGTTATTTGGTTCTAAATCATCTGGATCATTGGAGTCCAACGTAATGGGTCTGTCATTCAAAATGGCTGCAGCTTCACAGAAAACAGTTTGCAGTACTTCATCATCCACAAACTGTTGTTTTAAAACTGAGGCAAGTACACTTTTTACTTAATGAATTAATTGTTCCCAAATGCCACCTTGATGTGAAGCTCTAGGTTTATTAAATCCCTCCATTTATGCCATCCTGGACCTCTTTGGATTTTGCTTTGGTTGAAGGTGGTCAGACTCTTTTTCAGTTTTCTGTTGGCTCCCACAAAAGTTGTGCCATTATCTGATCACATGGAGGAAGGTGGGCCACCTCTACAGATTAATAATTGAATTGCATTAACATAAGAATCAGCAGCAAGGGTCTGAGCCCAACAGCATGACTGGTTGAATAAGTAAATATCCCTCCATACCTTTTGCTTCTGCCTCTTTTGGCACAAATGGGCCCAAAATAATCAACTTGGTCTGGAACTAATCTTTCTTGGCCATTTTTGGGGCCAGATGTTTTTCCTCTATTTCGTCTGCAGGTCACACAGTCAGACAGTATTTTTATGGAAGCAGAGTTTGCATTGACAATCCAGTATCTCTGATGCAGTCTAGACATAATATGGTTTCTTCTTTTTGTGACCAAGAGGGTGATTGTAACACAAAATTAATGTTGCCAGATGCATGTCTTTACACAGAATAATAGGATGTTTAATTTCAGATGTCTCTTGAGACATCTGAAGGACCACTCTGGGACTCCATTGTCAACCACTGGATCAAGTCTGTAGAGCCGGCTGTCTTTAGAGACCATCTTATTGGCTCTGAGTGAGCAAATCTCAGGTCCAAACCTGTGATGTTGATCAAACTGAATGATGAAATGCCCCTGCTTCGCTAAATTATCAAATGGCAAACACTGTTTTTTAAGCATAGTTTTAAACTGTTGCATCTTTTGTGCCACCTTTTGCTCTTTGGCGTATGCATCTTCCCCAAACTGATGCATCATGGAAGAAAATTATTTCTTTTCCCATACAGCAGAATGAGAAGTTCTTTGAGGTTTAATAACCAAGCTACAGACGTTTTCAGCTTCACCCAGGATGAAAAGTAGGAGATGATGGTAGGACTTTTAACCTTCTCGACAGCACTGACAGTCACATCTTTTTTCAGAGTCATCAGCAGGAAGTCAGTTTTGCTTTACCTCCAACTTAGGCCATTTATCTTCAGTCTCAGACAGGAACTCAGGGCTATTGATCCATCTGCTATGCCCCAAGAAGTCCTCTGCTTTTATCCTTCTTGATGCTTCTTCTGCTGGATTATCTTTAGAACTCACATATCTCCACTGGTCAACTTGCGTAGCTTCTCTGATGACGGACACTCTGTTTGCACAAAGGTGTGAAACATATTTGCTTCACTGCAGATGTATTTCATATCGGTGGTGTTGTCGGTCCAGAAGAAAGTTGGGTCAAATTCAAGATGCAACTCTCTATGAATCAATTGGTCCATGCGAACATCAAGAACAGCTGCAGTGAGCTCTAGACCAGGGATTGTCATCTGCTTGAGAGGAACAACTCTGGCCTTTCATAGGAGCACTGCTAGGTGCACATGATGCTCTTTTTGTAATCTTAGGTACCATATCACACTTGGCTGACATCAGAGAAGTGGTGGACCTGTGCTTTAACTAGACAAAAAATTTTAGGCTTAATGCAGTGATCCACTTCAAACCTTGATATCCTCTTTAGATGATCCAGCCAGTTGGTCCTTTGTTTGGAGAAACAATGTTGGACAGCATCAGCCCAGCCCAGCTTTCTCCTGCAGAGCTGTTTTGAAAGCAGTTAGACAATTCAAGATAAGAACTAATTTTACTTTCAAAGTATTCATTTTGTTTCTTAATTTCATCAGAGGGGAGTGGCAAACTTGTGAACTGTTTATGCGACACCTCTGCATCATGATAACAAATTAAAGTAGCAATCGGATAATTTACTGAGTCAACATTTTATTTTTACTCATCATTCATTATTGATATCATCAGTTATTTGTCTAATTTGCATGAGTTTTGCACTCCTTTGATCTTGGTTTGTTTTTACTGGGACTTCAGCCTTTCTCTGTAAATGTGATGCTTCTTTTGGATGAAACTTCTGTTCTTTTCTTACATCAGACATTTTGGTACAAACACTTTAAACTGCTTGTAATTTCATCACTTCAAATCCACTTGCTGTGTGTAAAGGTGCAACACCTTTCATTCAGTGTTTCTTCATCATCATACTGACAAACTTGTACTGTTACACTGATTGCTATCATCAAAGTCCAATCGTATGACTGTTGTCGTTTACATTGCTTTTGCAATCATTTGCTGTCGTTCAAGAAAGGCAAGCGCGTTCATCATGGCTTGTGGGCGCTGCCCTTACCTCCCGCTGTCAGCTACAATAGAGCAATGATGGATTCCAAGCTTTTCACAGCCTTTCCCGTGCATCAACAGATTTGAGATTGTTGAATCATAAACCCAGAAGAACTGCCTAAATCATATCATGTAATAATAATAATAATAAAATATATATATATAGGGCGGCACGGTGGTGTGGTGGTTAGCACCGTCGCCTAACAGCAAGAAGGTTCTGGGTTTGGGTGGAATTTGCATGTTCTCCCTCTGTCTGCATGGGTTCTCTCCAGGCTCTCCGTCTTCCTTCCACAGTCCAAAAACCTACATGTAAGGTTGATTGGACATTCTAACTGCCCTTAGGAGTGAATGTGAGTGTTTGTTTGTCCAAATGTCTTGTGTGTGGCCCTGCGATGGACTGGCAGACCAGGGTGCACCCCGCCTCTCGCCCATCGACCACTGGGATAGGCTCCAGTTCTGCCCGTGACCCCATTAGGGATCTCACAACGGATAAATTATATATATATATATATATGTGTGTGTGTGTGTGTGTGTGTGTGTGTGTGTGTGTGTGTGTGTGTGTGTGTGTGTGTGTATGCAAATTACAAACCAAAAAATGTATTCTAAAGAACATTTAAGTAAAAATAGTAATTAGAAATCCATCAAATTATAAACGAAAACTAAACTTAAAGAATAAACAAAAAAACAAAGAAATAGCTCGTACAGCAGGTATTACATTATTGGCCATTATTACATTATCGCTTTCTACACAGTGTTGGAGGAAGCCTGTCTGCCCTGGTTGGCAGCTGTCATAGACATTTAGAGTCAAATCATATGTTGATATGTATATTAGCAATATTCAAACCTCCTTAAGAGGCTTGTTGTAAATTTGGGACATTTAGAAAAAATAAACATAGCATCTTATTTTGACTTGCCACCATTGGCATGGCTACAGGGGTCTTTTATTAAGCCTTTTATTTATCAAGCTTTTATTAAGTCCATACTGTTGATGAGTGAGAACAGACATGATTTATTGGGTTTGATCATACTTCAAAAAATGTTATCAAGCATTTTGTATGAACCCCTTTCTTGTGCGTAAACAAACACAAATTTTAAAACTCTATTTACTGTGAAAAGGTTAATCTCACATATCTAATTTATATGTCAGTATTATGTTGCTTGTAAAATGCATAGTAAAATATACTTAATGTTATGAAAAGAATCGTGGGGATTAACATTTCCTTGGGGACATATTTCAGTTGGGTTTCAACCTATCTATAATGAATTGTTGATGAAACAGGGCAGGAAGGAGAAGCAAACTTCTCTTCAGAAAATTATATTGTCAAATTAATTAAGTATTGAAGGACAATCCACATGAACATGTATTTTCTTTTTTACTGTACAGTTTTTACATTGTCCTGAATCTCACATTAAATTATCAGGTCAACAGCCAAATCACATTTTG